TTTATTTAATTTTTCTATTTATTAATTAATTTCTAATTTATTTATTATTATTTTTTCTAATTTATCATTTATATTTGATATAATCAGTATTTTACCTGAACTCAGTAACAAATTTGTTTGCGTTTCGCAGTAAAAAATATAACCATTAACTTCTATATCTCCAACACACGCAAATGAAAGACATATATGTCTGTCATACTAGATATATATCATAGATATATATCATATATCATAGATATATATATATCTAAAATGAAATAATAACCTAACAAACAACATACATGACAGCACTATTTAAGAAAAAACATGAACTAATAGTGTTGAAAGTATAAATAGCAAAAGGAAGGTAACAGAACTAAAATTTCTAATTAATAAAAATATATTTGTATTTTTAAATAGTAAGCAATTAAAAGTGCCATAATTATGGATGCAGTATTTAATAGTAATGCTGATGTTTCTGAACACAATTTCTTTCGATCATATGTTAATGTATTTACTTATTTTTAGTTTCTACATTTTAGAATAGTGGCAGATTACAATGATTATTTCATGCACTTTTTATAATCAATACCTTTTTTTTTGTTACTGTACAGAAATAATTTAAATAATGTAGTATACGATAGTTAGCTAAGAAAGTTAAAGTAAGCTCTTCGTTAAATAGCACACGATGAAACTTTTTGTTTCTATTTATTATCAATTTCTTTGTTATCACAAGCACTTAAAAAGCAAGCGAAGAAAATAGAATATACTTCAATTTAATTAAAAATAAAACCTAATTTCCAACATTCATTTATTGAGATAATCTAATAAAAACACATAACGGCAATATTAAAAAAAAAAAAAAAACGCGAATGACACAGTGTTTGGAAGAATAAAAACAAAACGAAAATTATTAAAACTGCAATTTGCAATCAATAAAAGATATTTAGTGTTTTTTAATATTACACAATTAAATATCACATAATCATAGATTACAATATTTTATAGAAATTCTAATGCTTCCTTAACGCAATTTTTTCGATTATACATTTCATACACTGTTTAAAATTACAGTGCATGCATTTACTTGCATTTCTTCATACTATACAAAAAACACCTTTTCTTACCTTTTCTGAGTACTATACAAAAAAACATACTTATAAAATGTGCATTATTATTAATTTTAATGTATTGCTTCTTGTTATTACATACTGCTGAAGATGAATTAGATATATTTATAATTCATCTTTAGCAGTCATATTAAGTACTGGTACCAGTCCAATAATTTCTTTGTAAATTGTTCTTTTCTTTTCAAAATAATGAACATACCATAGCAGCTTGAATTGTTGTTGCTTCTGTACTGATTCCATTTTCAGCAAAACCAAAAAGTGCCTTATGGTTATATGGTATTTTTGGTTTTATATGAATTAATTCTGAGAATCAACCTTTCAATATGAACACAATACTCGATTAATATGAATGATATACGATATAGCACTTAGGACGTTATAACCGAAGCACAAAGCTAATAAGGGTATCCAAATATTGCACCGCTGGAACCACAGAGATTGGAGAACACCACCATATAACTTTTTAATCATCGGAAACATGTAAAACACCAAAACTCAACACTATTTCACAAACACTATATTCACGATTAGCATTGTAGCATTTCTTGTAGAGCAGATATTCACAAACAAAATAAGCCCAAATTCAGCATTCTCAGGATGATTTCTCCTCAGTTCAGAGGCTTCCATATAGGAGCTCACAGCAATGGAATTTCACTCGCTGAAGGCAGTTGAAGTAAGTAGATACAGAACAATGAGAAAATTCACAACGCGTTCTTTGATTGACAGTGCATTACATTTACTTTCAATATAAGTAATATTATTTATATCAGTCACTGCTTGATTAAATTTCAAACATGAAAACAGTCTGTCTTTTCAAACGCCTTTCAAACAGATGGCATCTTTACCAAATTACTTGAAAGAACTGCTAGAATCTCAATTAGTTGCGCAGTTACTTGTTTGAATTTGGCAGTTAGCCAAAGCGCGCAAATCTCGAGATGTTCATTTATATAAGCATCCATTAAATAATGTACCTTTCTGCTTCTGCTGACTGTCGATGAGTTTTCCGTCATATATATTGGACAGCCGTTAAATATGCATCGTCTTTTAACATTGGACGTTTTCTCGGAATTCTTAAAATCCCCCCATTTTTATCCGACAATTTTTATCCTTTACGCGCAATCATATCTTCGCGAAAATTGTACTTTTTGCACTGTATGCGGGAAAATGTTTCATTTAATGACACCATATTAATTCAAATAAATTTGTCCTTACTTCAATAATAATAAATAAAGTCATATTTTAGTACTGAAATAATTGCTAACATGTGATTTGCATTGATTTCTTAAATATGATTTTTTAAAGTGTATAAAATGCATAACTTAATAACTTACTTTATAGAAAATGAATATTTATAAACAATACTTTAAGTATTAATTAGTTTAACAAAATTTTAAACAATTATTTAGCACGTATTTTTAGCACTGATTAAATTTAATACACTGCTCGACATTGAAAATGCAACACCAAGAAGAATTAGTCAGAAATTTATGCAAATTTTAGAGTAGACGCACGTCACTGAGTTATGCGAATGATGTGAAATGCGCAGCTCTCCGACGCACGTGAATTAAGATATAAGGGAAGGAACGTGCAGAATGGGCAATATTCGTGTCGTTATTTCTGCCAGACGAATTATCGAAGAAAACTGGTTTTTGTCCCGGAGGATACGTGTAATAGGAGGGAATGCCAGGCCGCCGTCACGAGGCACTTTCCAGCAATAACGTTTACGAGGTATGGTGACGGACTGAGAAGGCGGGGGGTCCTTACTCAATCGCGCTGATACGGTTGCGAGCACGGTGCATCGGTTATGGCGAACATGGTTGGAACATTGCATTGCATTGCATTGCATTCAAGGAAGAGCACTGTACCTTTACCATAGGGTGAATCAGTTCAGCACCGCGCCCCCCAAGATCTAGAGCAGCCAAAGAGGCCACATGAGAGCCGCGCACAGAGAGACCAAGCCCAACGCCGGATCCACCCAGGGCAGTTCAACGAACCAAAGGCCCATAGGGGACCCACACCCCGTCGCCCAGGCGTCAGATTTATAAAAGAAATATTTACATGGCCAAACAAGGGCATAGAGAGATACAATTAAGTACATTAATAATATATCAAGGATTGTACAAATTTAACAATAAGAGGTAAAGATTACAAGATAAAGCAAGTTACAGGAAAATGAGTACAGAACACAGAAGGCGTGTTATAAGTTAAGGGCATCACGATAAGACAGAATAGGCCTATTACTGGTTAATGACATCACAATAATACTAAATCTGAATCAAAATTAAATATATTAAATAGGCCAGAGTACATTAGGGAGGATAAAGTAATGGCATGGGTACATAACAAATACAAATCAAAGATATGAGTGCATGTGAGTAATAGAAATATGAGTAAGTATAAGGGCAGTACACTATAAATGCGTTACCAATTCAGTATAGAACAATTCAGTATATGATGACAATGCAGTTAATATTAATCAGCACAGCACATAACCGATACAATACAAAAAATAAATAAATAATAATAATATAAAAAGTCAGTATAAATCAGGTAATACAAAGTCAATGCGTAATAAATAGAATCAGAATGGATCAGCACTTAACCAATACGAATAATATAAATATAAATAGTACACTACAAATGACAATATTCAATAGATAACAGGTAAATCAAATTCAATGCTGTAGAAATGCAATCAAGATAAAACAGCACAGAACAAATACGAAAAAATAAAATAAATACAAATGCATTATAAATTCAGTATAGAACAAGTAATACAAATATAATAAGTGATACAAATTCAGTGCATAATTAATCTAATCAAGATGAACTCATATAAATGCAATATATAACAGGTAATGTAAATTCAGCGCAGATGCGATACAAATTTAGTATATGAGAGGTAATACAATTCAGTATGTAATAAATGCAACCAAGATGAATCAGCACATATCTAGTATGAATAATATAAATAGAAAGATAAGGGTAGTACACTACAAATGCAGTACAAATACAGTATATAACAATGTGATCAATAGAATTCAGCACATAACAAATACTGTGAATAGAATATATACAGATTCAGTATATAATAGACAATACAAAGTCAGTGCATAATATATGCAATCAGGATGAATCAGCACATTATAAAAATGAAGAATATAATATGAGGATAAGGGCAGGACACGACAAATGCATTACTAATTCAGTATGTAACAATGCAATCTATATAAATCAGCACATAAGAAATACAAATACTATTAAATATGAATGCAACACAAATTCAGTACAGAACAGATGCATATATTATGAACCATTACTTAACTAATACAGATGATATAAATATGAGTACAAATGCAATATTTGAATATGAGTGCAATATAATTCTATATGCTATTAAATATGCTTTTATAATATGCTATTAAATATAAATGCAACACTAATTATTGAAGATAAATGCAACACAAATTATTGAAGATAAATGCAACACAAAATTTATAATATTCTGTTAAATATGAATGCAACATAAATTCAGTACAGAACAGATGCATTTATGATGAACCAGTACTTAACTAATACAAATGATATAAATATGAGTACAAATGCAATACAGAAGAAACTGCAAATTCAGTATGCAGTAAATAATATGTGCAAGTAATAGAAATCACAGATAAATTGTGTTACATAGTGTAGCATAATTCATATTACTAACAGTATTGAAACAACACTAGACAATAAATGACAACATACTAATTCAAAATGCAATAAGAAGTAAAGATTAAATGATGTTAACAATACAGGATATGTTAACAATACAGCTCAATTAATTGATAAATGCAGTAAATGAAACAATTTGACATATAATATAGAAGGTGTAGGAACAGCAAGTAATTAGACAGGTTGACATAAGTCGGTACCAAGATGCATAAGTTTTGACATGATGGCAGTCAGTTTCTGAACAAGATGTCGTTTGATTAAAAACTTACTAAAAGCCTGCTGATGTTGAGCAGGAAAAGGGATATGCAGTTCTCGTGTAAGTTCACAAGAGGATACATAATGCTCAGGCGTACCCGCCTGGCCACAAACACATTGATCAGTTGATGTGATGTTAAAGCGGGCAAAATATACGGGAAAAGGCCCGTGACCTGTGACATATCTTACCAATTGTGAATTGGCAAGAAGACGAGTCTCATCAACATAGCCCAGGTGATAATGCGCTCTGCGGCCAGTATCCTCTGCATCCCAGAGGACCTGCCATTGCATAACTGACTGTAGGTGCAGTTTCCGAAGAAAATGTGATATGGGCCAAGCTAAAGGAGAATTAATAGCATCATCGTTCATGGCCGCTTGCTTAGCTAATTCATCAGCAAGTTCATTTCCAATTGTGCCCATATGAGCACGTGTCCAAAACATTTGAATATTAAGGTGAGCACCTAATCGAAGTAGTTCTTGAAGTTGCGAAATTATTATTGATGGATGCACAGGATTCATTGCAGCAGCCAAGACCGACTGACTGTCCGTTACAATGCAGCAGTTCAATATTTGATGTTCCAGAATATATTTAGTGGCATTGACGATGGCAAAGGCCTCTCCCTGGAACACGCTGTTATGTCCATGGAGATGTGCTTTCCATTGATGCAATAAAGTGCCATGGTGAAAAACTGCAAAAGCACAACCAGTATTATCTTCTATTTTTGACCCATCAGTGTAAATGTAATAATCACCATCAGGCAGTTGTGTAGATTCACGTAATGTTACATGAACACCAAGTCCATAAGCAGCTGGATGGAGACGTAGTCGATTGTAGGGTCGTTCATAATCTTCAGGAGAATAATGTTCGCCATAGAAGGTGACCTGTTGATTTAGCAATTTAAGTAGTTGTCGTGCTCCCTCCTGTTCCGTTCGGAGATGGAGAGGCAGAAGACCAGTTATTACTTGTAGGGCACTAGTTGAAGTCGTTCGAAAGGCTTTAGATATATTGAGAAGAAAAGAACGTTGGATTGATTGGAGAGACCTTACTTTACGGCCCTGCATTGGTTGACTCCAAACAGCTGCCCCATAGGTCACAATGGGGACAATAACCGTTTGGTACAGAAGTTTCTGTATATGGGGGTTAAGCCCCCACTGAAAACCACTCATCTGTCGGAGCCTATATGCTATGTTATAAGTTTTTTTTTTTAATGTGCAAAAGATGTTGAGCCCAGTTCAATTTATCGTCAAAGACGATGCCAAGGTATTTTAACTGACGAACAATCTTTATTCTTTTATTATTAATATCGATGCGGGGTCGACGTGCCAGAGATCCAGATCCACCCTTTTTCGGGATCAGGAGTATAAAAGATTTATCTTCAGAAATCTGTAGATTTATATTTAGACATAGTGTAGAAAAAAAGGTTGCACGTTTCTTGAGAATGACGTTGAAGCTCTTCTCTTGTTTTGCCACGGACAATAAAAGCGACATCGTCGACATAGGCATAAGTAGATGTATGTGCAGGCCATTGTGCAGCTAGAATTTGATTGAAAGTGAGGGTCCATAAGTCAGGGCCCGCACAGGAGCCCTGTGGACAACCTCGATTCTGCAAACGATGGACTTGACCATTATTATGGACAAAAATAAGAGAGCGTTCCGACAAATAATTGCTGAAGGTCTGGAAGAGATTAACAGGGCACTTGGCTTGTTGCAAGGCTTGAATAATGGCCGGCCACCACAAGGTATCGAAGGCGCACTTCAAGTCGACACTGATAAAGGCCGTGTGGTAGCCAGCCAGTTTATTCGTATATATGGCATCGGTAACATCCTTCAGAGCATGCAATGTGGTCTTACCAGCACGAAAACCGTACTGTCGATCGGAAAGAAAATTGGTGTTATGAAGATGATGTTTAAGGCGTTGTACTATTAGCCGTTCAAACACCTTGCCCATAGCAGACAAAAGGCAAATAGGACGGTATGATGTTGAGAGACGGGCATCCCTGTTCTTCTTCAAAAAGAGAATAACTTGACCAACCTTAAATTCAGGTGGAAACGTACCAGTGCGGAAAAGCTTGTTAAAGAAGTCACGGAAGAAGGATAAATTAGATAGGATAATAACTTTAATAATGCCATAATCCACACCATCCAATCCAGGTGCTTTCTTCTTTGGAAGATGATTAACTACATAAGAGATTTCTGAAAGCGTGAAGTCAGGATCTGGTGTATTATTAGGAGGAGATGTATTCCGGCGAATGTCAGCTTGAAGATGTGTATCTGCTGAAGCATCATCCATTGGGAAAATGTCATCCAGAAGGTTAGAAATCATTTCCTCCGTAGAGCAGATCGTAGGTGAGGCTTGTGATGGTGGAGGAAAATGCAAAACCGCAGGCTTGAATAATTTATCCGATGCTAACTTATGATGTAAACCATAAGTTTCGGTATTATTGGTGCAAAAATCACGCCAAGATTGAAGCTTAGCCTGTAGAATCATTTTTTTTTATATCGGGCGCGTTCGTGCCGGTAAACTTCTAATAGACGGTCTGAGGTGCCGAGACGTCGCAATTGCTTGAGCTTCCGTCTCAAAGATCTGCATTTCTGCTGTTGTTGTCCTAAGGAAGAGTTCCACCAGGTATTGATTGCAATTTCTTTGTATGTCGTTGCGGCAAAAGATCATTACAAATTGCCTGTATCGATGTCATTAGATGGACTGTGAATTCATTCAACTCCGTTGACGTCGTGCAACGATGCAAATGTGGAACTAAATTGCGAAGACATGCAGTAACACGACGACGAAAGACAGCAATTTTATGCCCAGGCAGCCGATAGCGACGGACAATAGATGTACTGGTTGTATGCTCTAATTGAAAGAGAATATACTTATGATCTGATAGGACCACTGATATCATCAACCGTCCAATTTTGTACATAGACAGCTGTTGGAGGCGTGGATATAGTGAGATCAGGCCATCCATATGTAGAAGCTTGTTCAAAGGTCGGAGGAGCATCAATAGTGTTATGAAGGACTAGGTTATTTGAGTTAAGAAAATCCTCTAGAAGACGACCTCTAACATCTGTTTGAGGATAACCCCATATTGTACTATGGGCATTAAAATCGCCCGCTATAATATTATGTGGCACTGGGTAATGTTGCCGGATATATTCTAGAAATAGAAGTGCTGATTCCAATGACGCTGTTGGTGGAGAATAAATGGAATAAAGGATAATTTTAATATCAATTAATTCCAGTAATATAGCCACATGGTCACGATCAGTCTTGAGAACAAGTGGAGACCATAAGGGATTAAGAATTACGATTGCTGCTCTAGGAGGCTCTGCCTTATTTACATGTTGATATATCGACCAGCGTAGTGGAAAGCCCACAATCTTACCATCCCTCGTGTAGGGTTCTTGAACAATTAATATATCGGCTTTAGCATTAACTGCGTAATCAACAGCATGTGCAGTAGCAGCACGAGATTTTTGTAAATTGATCTGGATAAAATTAATACGTTCAAGAGCTGGAGTAAAATCTAGATTCATGGCAGAACTTTTGACACCAGAAGGAGTAGAGGAATTAGCATTACTGTGTGAAGGCAGTGTATTAGAAATTGTAGAAGAAGAGCTGGTAGAAGTACTTCTAGTATTGGGTGATACTTCGAATGTATTCTGCTGTGCGTTGATATGATGGACATTCTGAAGCATAGGTAGGGTGTCGGTAGTCATACAAGGTGCCATGATGGTGGTTGCTGTCTCGACAGTTGATATACACTCCGGTAGTTCGGCGTGACAGTCTTTGAGACTGTGGGGGCCAGCGCAATAGGCACAGAACACGGTTGGTGATGTACAGCGCTCCTGCGTGTGCCCATATTGCTGGCACTTGTAACATCTGAGGATGCCCAGAAATTCCGAGATGGGAAGTGCATTCCAACCGAAGAAGAGCTTTCGAACTGCGATGACTGCCTGGAAAGTGGTGGAGTCACATTCGACAATCCAGCGTACTCTTTTAGGGGTACGTTCTTTAAGTTTAAACAAAGGTCGGATTCATTCATTGTTTTGTATATGAGCAGCTGCACTTAATTCAGCTATCAAATCGTCAGATGAAAGATCTTCAGGAACGTTTCGAATCACACACCTGGGCTTACGACGCTGGCGACGTGTTACAGCAATGTCCAGATTTGTATCTTGAAGTTTATGTTCAAGGCGAGAAATGTCAGATGGAGATCGACAAAAGACTTCTAAACCACCTTGAGGAAGAGAAGAAATACGTTGGACAGCAACTTGAAGCTTATTAAGCGGTGCGTGAACCTGTAGGTCCTGACGCAGTTGAGCAGCTGTTTTTTCTTTGATTTGGATTTTATTATAATGCTAGGTTGTACTGGCTGTCGAACCACTTCTGCAAAAGTAAAAGGTGGTTGGGCTGAAGAGACAGCAGATGATGCAGGTGCTACAGTCGAGGCAGAAGCCAAAGATTTAACAGGCGTGAGAACAGTGGAATCGTGTGTAGTTGCAATTGGCAGAGGTTGTTGATGCAGAAGTTCACAACACACCAAAGTAGAAGTATTTACTTCCGCGTCAGCTGTAGTCGGCGGAGGTATGTAATCCGGACCCTGTAAGGCAAGCTCTTTGAGAGCGTCTAAAGACCGGGTCAATTTATCTCGTAATTCAGATCGTAGAATATGCTTACCACCTCGGAATGTAGTAGCAATAGAGTGTATACAAGTGTACAATAGATTAACTTTATCACTATACAATTGTTCGGTAGTAATCAGTTCAAATGGGTCAAAGTCCTCAATAGGTACTGTGTCTACATGTGCAACAGATGATCGTGACATTGTTACACATATAAATCAAAATCTATATATATCGCATATAAATAAAAATCTATATATATCACTTATAACACAAAGTATATAAGAACTCAAGCAAAAGTAAAAGAAAACTATGATGTTAAGCACCGTTATAACGATATAAAACAATAAAGTCTAATAGATACAATTAAATGACGTAAGAAATACAGTTCATAAAGAATAATATAAAACAGTCAAAAAGTCAATAAAAATGCTGAAAACACTATTTTTATCAATATAAATGATAGAAAACAAGATTTCGACAAAAAGTTCTGCGCCTCGACAATGTTCAAATATTGACAAAAATGAAGTGCCAAAAGGACAAACCCTTTGGAGCTAACATAAATTAAAAGTAGAGTTAAGCCTAGTATACAGGGTAGACATAAATATAAAATTTATGACCTAACTCGTTAAATATCAATGGTACAGTAATATAAATATTATACAAAGAAAGAACTTTTAATTTTGATCATTTTGATGAAAACCATGTAAAAATAACATAATTAGGTGCTGAGAAATTAATTTTTTAAAAACAATTGACCAATTTCTGGACTTTCATCGTCAAAAATTCCATCGAAAAAGTTAGGCCTACCTCGGTGCCACGTGTTTGTCCGGCGGGAACCTTCCGTAGGGAGGCGGCAGGGGATGTGCACAAAAGTCCGCTAAAATTGCAGCAGCCTGAAATCCTTTGTGAATAACACAAAAACACAATTTCACAGAGAAATACTTAGCGCACACACATAAACAATATATCAATCGATGCACTGCACATTCACGCACACGTTAACACTAACGGCGCACTTCCGGCGGCACTTTGAACACTCGAAAAAGCACAAAAACCAGGAGCAGAACTGACACACGTCCGTCGTCGTTGGTAGTCCACACGGCTCTTACATGGTTGGAACAAGGAAATGTGGGAAGAAGGAGGGGTGCAGGTGCAGCCAGAGTGACGTCAACACGCGTGGATCGACGCATCCTCCGACAAGCTGTGGCGGTCCCGCAAGTCACTTGTACCTCGATTTTGCAGCCTGTGCAAGATACCCTGGATGTTCCCGAGTCGACCAGAAACATTTCCCGTCGATTGGTTGAACGTGCCCTGCACTTACGGCGTCCGTTAAGAAGACTGCCATTCACCCCACAGCCAATGACAATGTTTAGAATGCCAATGTTTAGAATGGTACCGAACTGGAGCGATGTGAATGACAAAAGGGCGAAACGTCGTGTTCTCAGATGAGTCACGCTTCTGTTTATCCAGTGACAGTCGCCGCATACGTGTGTGGCGTCGGTGGAGTGTGGAGGCAGATCTAATCCGGCAGTAACTG